ATTTGGGGTAAGGGCGTTGGAGCCAAATTCCTTTCTGGTACTCTGTTTCGGTTATACTATTTAATTATATTAAAACTCAAATTATCGCACTTGCTGGCTGTTTGTGCTATATTTGTTATTATCATGTTGACAGAGAGTTGCATGTCCTAACTCCTAACGTGTTGATTCGCTTGACTTCAATAGAAACCTGACTCTTGGTTTATTAGTGATACATTCTTTAGATATTCTGTGTTTTGATCACTGTACATATGATTATAGCATTTGCTACTTTTATTCTATATTGATCATTCAAACAAATGGGACTAAGTGAGCTACTTGCTAGCCCTGAACGATGTTCTCACTATGTGGTCTTGTGAAATGTACTACCAGAGGCAACTTAGTAACTGAGTTATTGTTTGGTAGTTCATCAAGTTATTTGCAAGTTTTCCAGCGATCACATTTGGATCGGTTTCAATGTCTTGGCTCTGCTTGGCCTTGAGATGGAAATTTCAAAGCACAGATGTTGTATGAAATTAGATGTGGTAGAATTTTCAGCGGAAACAGGAGAATCTAGTTAAAATTTCCATTCTGACTGGGAATATAGAACGAAGCTTTTGCAAGTTCATATTTTAGATTCTCTTCTTTTTATGGCCTAACATTTTAGATTCTTAGAAGGGTTAATATAATTTTTTGTCTCTCAAGCTTGCTTTTATTTTAATTAGGGTCCCTCAAAATTTCTTTTTATTTAAAATATTAGTCCTTATAATTTAATAAAAATAGAAACTATCTTGTTCTTTGAGAATCAAAACTTATAATTTGAAATTTAAGAGACGAAAAATTATATTAAAATTTTTTAGAATTATGCAAGATGAAATGCCCTTTTCAATAAGTTTGGTCTCTGAAAAATCATGATAGAAATGCTTGCTTACTATATTCTTTTGCAAGGTTTGAGCAGTGAATGAAATGAATTCATTGACATGCTTCCCATCTTCCATAATTTTCCAAAGTGTTATTGAAATATAAATCTTATCATATATTATAAAATAGTGAATAAGAGAGTTGAGAGTGCTAAATTTGTAGACTTTGAGGAAGATTGTCTGCCAAATGCTTTCTTTTCTGTTCCCCCCCCCCTCACTATCATTAGAAGTCTGTAAAGTGTAACAGGAACACCGCGATTCAAAAACTCGAAATTCCTTTTGTGATTTTATACTATGAAGTGAATTAATGTATAGCAAACTAAAGTCATTGGACTTCATATAGTAAGTCAAATTCTTTATGGGGAACACTTGGGATCGCGTGCAACCCAATTTCGTAAGTGAATGACCTTGTGTGGGTCCTTTGGATGCAACTCTCTCTGACTTCTCTATTCATAGTCTCTATGGTGGCCCAGAGTCTAACAACTAAGAAGCATGGATTAGACTACTTAAACACTCTAAACTTGTTTTCCTTACCTTTACAAGATTGGATTATGTGGAATGCTAAAAATAAAGTTAGAGCAGCATGCCTGAGCCAACTTCATCTTTATTATGAGGAAAGTGTGCAAGCGAGAGGCATAGCCTTCTCTTGCACACAAAAGGGTCATTGATGACCTCACATTGAATGAATGTTACAACTTTAAATAAAAAAGTTAATTAATCCGCAAGTTCTTATAGTTTCAACCAATTTTAAATCAGATCCTTATAACTTTTTTCCTTTTTATCAGGTCTTTGTACTTTTACCTGTTTTTAATTAGATCCTTGTATTTATTTTTCTTTTAATTAAGTCCCTATAATTTCATTAAATTTTTAATAAGGTCCATGTAGTTTAAATTTTTATTTATTAATTAAATATAAACTTAATTAAATAGATTAATACTGAAATATAAAATATTAATAATTAAATTAAATTAATAATTATATAATAAAAATAAGTAATATAAATAATTAATTTGGGAATTTTTTTTGGAACAATTAATTTTTTGTTGAAAAAAATAAAATTATTATAATAATTCATTATTTTTAGAATATTATTGTTTATAAACTAATATTAAATAATATTTACTATTTTATGTTTATGGAACAGTACTATTAGAATTTATAAAATAAAGAATAAAAAATTCAGGGACTTAATTAAAAATAAGGTAAACTTATAAGGACTTGATAAAAAGGAAAAAAAGACTATAGGGACGTGATTCAAAACTGGTTGAAACTATAAGGACTTACAGATTAATTAACCTTAAATAAAATGAATATACGTCAACGATGGAATAGCTCCATGTGAAGATATTACATGAGATGAAAATGATAACTGAAAAAAAAAAAAAAGAATTTTGTAGAAGAAGTGGTTGCCAAATCAAATGCGATTTTGAATTCATGAGTATTTCAAAAGGTTTTCAATTATGTTGGGATTAGAATCCCACAAAAGTGAACGTTTATATAATGATTCATTGGCGGCACTTAACCTCTTACTAGAATTATGAGATATATGAAAGATTTGATCATGTATAATTTGTTCGTCACTTTTAACTTTGCTTTTGAGGAAACAACTAAATGTATTGACTGATTTGCTAGTCATGTCTATTATTTCAAAGTCTCCATCATCAAAGTGTAGGGATTTTTTAATTGAAGATTTGTATCGGTCTTTCCTCCCCTGGCTTTCTTTTCATGGCCTCGTGTATTGAAAAATAATGACAAAGACAGTATTACTTCATATTCTAGTTATAAGAACCAATTGACTAATTTAAGGAAATTAAAAAAAGAAGTTAAATTAGTCATTTGTAATAAATAGATGTTCTTTTTTCTAAAATATCTTTACTAATCAAGTGTATTTACTAGAATTATTATTGTTAGAAAGACTATTTTAAAATATATATAAATATGAGAGAAAAAGTAAATTGAGGTCATATATTTAAGATCAAAATAGAAGTCAATAAGATCTTATATTAAGGATTAGAGGTAGTATCAATACAATGTCAAATATCAAAATGCTCCTAAAGAATGCGGTTCAATATGCTATATCCTATCCATCTATACATCTATATCTGTATTCTATATAACTGCAAAAGTAGAGCAGAGCTGGTAATACGGGTTGGGCCTGCGGGCTCGGGTTGGCGTTTTGCCAGCCCGCCACGGTGCGGGCTACTCTAGCCCACACCGCTTTTGATCCGCTCCGTCACGCACTAGCTCGTTTTTTTTTATATACTTTTTCTTATTTTTAATACATTATATAATATAGTTAGATGATTTTAACCCTCAAATTTTATATGGATATTACCTCATTCATATCATTATATATATAATTAATTAAGCACTTCATATATATGTGTATGGTTATATGAAGAGCACCGTCCATTTTTTATTTTTATATCTATTTGTCGTTACTATACACGGCTTCATGAGATTAGATGAACATGTGATTCTCATATAGTCATACACACACACACATAAAAGATTTACTTAATTAATTTGGATAAAAGAACTAGTTAAATTAATTATTTATAAAAAATATATATGTTAGTTTTTCTTAAATATCTTCTAAAATTATAAATTAATTCTCATGTTTTTCTTATTAGAATCTATTACTCAAGTTTAAAACTCAGAGCTTAATTTCAACATTTCAAACTAGGCTTAACTCATACTAATATAATAAATTTTTAAAAAAAATTAGGCGGGCTGACCCGTATCCGCACCGCCAACCCGTTTTCCCAGGTCTAAAGTAGAGTATCCAACGTCCCAATTGGTGACACGTGTCCAATCACACTACTAACGGATTCTCCAGCCGCCAATCAACCTGATATTTAAACCCAGAATCAACTAAGCCGAAATTAGCAAAGATATCATATTAGAACACGTCCCACATTAATTTGACTCAGTCAAGTTTTTAAATTATTATTATTATATCATGTGACTATTATATAATACTACATCATATCTTTAATATATAAGACTTAATCGATTAATCTGGTGATATTAGTAAAGCTAAATAATAACTTATCTATAGCATATATTATATGATTTTGTTTTGAAATACTTATATGAATTATTAGATTATATATTAGCTTACAAGTTTGATAAATTGGTTTGAAAAAAATAATAAATATAAATATAAATTATCTAGCTTCCTTAATCTCTTACTCAGCTTAGTCTTATATTAAGTATTGGAGTAGTACATAATATAATATACTTGTCTAATCCTAAATACAAGATCTAATTAACTAATTTGAATATATTAATAATATTAGTTAAATTAGTAACGAGACATTTTTTTTTCATAAAATACTCTAAACATCTTTCTTAATTTTTTCATTGATTTTTCTACTTGATTATTGTTAGAAAATAATGATAGGATTAATTTAACAAAAGATTGATATAGATATGAAATAGAGTGCATGTTATAATGCATATGTATTCGGGATTCTTTTAGGCTATAACCTAATCGTATTTAAGTGTCGGTTATTTAACTTCTCATACAGTAAGGACTCAAGACACTTAAATTAATTAATAAATGACATTTGAAGCTAAAATCATTTTTATGATTTTACATTAGTAATTTTCGGCCCTGATTTCGGATTAATATGGAATTTAATTAAAAATTAAATTTAAAGCAATTTAAAAAATGGTTCTACGTATTTATTTAATCATATACCTTAGTCTGTTTAGTTTTCGACCAGTTTTTCCTGTTATTCATATGAGCCGGAAAATCAATTAACTTCAAAATACCTAACAATGCAGCTGAAAGTCCAGTTAATTACGCAGCAATACCTCTGAGAGATGTGTTCTAATCAGGCGAGAGCTATGAAGCAGATAATAATGGAAGGCGACGACCCATATCTTCCCCCAGAAATCATCAGAAACATTCTCAAACGACTCCCGGTAAAACACCTAATTCGATTGCAATGTGTCTGCAAAGATTGGAAATATCTCTTAAAGTTACCATCTTTCATCGAAGAACACCTCCACCACTCCACCCATCAAAACCCTTCTATTCTTGTCGACGGCCTTTCCCCAACTGATATTTTGCAATTATATTTGCTCGATACTGAGATGCAACTCCTTGAAGTTCATAGTGCAAGTCTGATTGATCTCCTGCGGGATGCTACGATCGTCGATTCCAGCAATGGCTTGCTCTGTGTCAGACTCAGTTGTTCATCTCATCCCATCTTATTGTGGAATCCAGCAATGAGGCGGGTCAGAGTGGTGGCTAAAGCTGCTAATTGTTTTGAGGATAAGTATTACAAGTTGGGATTTGGATTCTGTTCAATTGTTAATGATTACAAGATTTTAAGAATTAGTGCTTCTAATGCGCAGGACTGGCAAGGGGAAGTTTATTCAGTAAAGACTGGGCTATGGAAGAAAGTAGAATGTGGTACCTTTGATGGTGTATCTATTTGGTGTAGCAGTATTGTTGCTAATGGAAACATCTTCTGGTTTGGATTTAAGCCAAATGGAGAGAGCAGAGTTCATTTGTTAGTCTCATATAACTTGGCACTAGAAGTGTTTACGTTGATACCATCACCTATTTCATTTCTTAAACCAATAGATTTACTTCTCTCCAGGCTTACTGTTTATGAGAATAAACTTGCTATACTTTCTCACTATACCATTGACTTTGAATCTTCTTTGATTGATTTGTGGGTAATGGAGGAGGAAACGGGTACATCTGACGAAAGATGGGATTGGACTAAGAAATATAGCATCAGCCACCCTTGTTGGTTAGTTCCAAGGACTATTTGGAGGAATAATTTAGTCTGCTATCTTGATATAGTGGCGTTTAGACGAATTAGTGCAAATGATGGAAAAAATGTTGTTTTGGTCAATCTAACTACTAACGAATTTAAGATAGTTGTTATCCACAAATGTGGCATCGGTTATCCTGTTTTGAACTATGTGGAAAGTCTTGTGCCAGTTGAAAATGACTACACTGAAGAGCTTTGATACTAAATCTTGATTATCACATTGTATATTTGCTTTAAGTTGTTTTGCTGGAAAAGAATCTATAATAGTTCATATTAGTTTGTTCCTGTAATGCTTGATGTCCTTTAGAGATTGTATCTTGAATGGTAAATGACTAAGGGAATGTTTGAATAGAACCAAACTATGGTTCTAGAAGTGATTTTACTGTATATGAAATAAATATGTAAAGAAATTTATCTCAATTTGTGAAAAAATACTTTTAAAAAGTATCTCTCCTCATTCCCAAAATATTCTGTGCCATATGTTTGCAGCTTTATGCGACCTACCGATCTAAAATAAATATAGAGTTCAGTTTTCTTTTAAAGATGGAGATATAATTTGGTTTGTGGATCGAACTAGTTTTCCGCCTCCCAACGCATCTGCTTTTTCATTCCATTCAATCTTATTCTCATACCCTTTTCATTTCTTTTTCCTTGCTTTTTGATGCCCACTGCCCAACAACACAAATTTTTGTGTTCAGTGCAAGGTTTTAAGAACCGGACCGGACCGGACGGTCCGACCGGTCCGACCATCGCCCGGTCCACACAACGGCTCGGACAGAGGGTTTGGGCCGCCTGAGTGGTTCATCCGTGTTGGACCGCCTTTTATCCGCTGTTGGGCCAGAAGCCGTTGTTGGGCCGGAAGCCGTTCCGGATTTGTAAAAACCAGACTGGCTGAATGTCATCATAATAAAATAAAAAAAAAGGCCCAAAAACTGCCAAAAGTCCATATATTACATTAAAAAAAAAAAACAAACGACCCCTGTTTGGCTTTTCTGAATTCTGACTTTTTGCTTGGCTGGCCTTTCCGTCGAACGCGAGAGTGGCGAGACCGACTTTGTGAGTTTGAGTGCCCTAAGTCCCCACCGTGCTCCGTCTTCCTCCGTCGTCCTCCACCGTGCTCCGTCGTGCTCTGTTCATACGCGCCATCGTCCACTAGCATTCACGATCAGGTTATTTCTGATTCAGCGTCCGCACGTTCTCGCTTTGAAGGAGCTGGACCGAAAAACTGAAGTCAGAGAAGTGGAGGCTTGAAGGCAGAGGTGATCATAAATTTGAAGTCATCACAATTCAAATCTCTTGGATTCTAAACAGGTAAATCATTCTCTGCTCATTGGATTCTAAATAGGTAAGTCATCTGCTCATTGTATCGGTAATCGGCTGTTTCAAATTTCAATGAACCTATGCTCTGTTTATTTTGCCAAAACCAGAGCCGACTACCAGTAGTGCTGATGGAGAAGATAGCGTTTAATGCTTATATATATATATTGAATAAGCTGTAAGCCTGTAACTATTTGATTTTGACCGATGTATAAGCTTATATATATGTGTGTTGAGTGAGCTCTGAGCTGTGACCGAGGAATCCATGTTAGGATCCATTTTTCTTCGCAGCGAGCTGACCAACTTGTGTTTACTTCAGCTACATCGTGATCTGTCTCCTAAATATGCGTTTAATACAGGTTGAATGTACTGAAGAATATGATAAAACAATTCAGAAGTGTAACTGTCATATACCGTGGGAGGATAATGATTTACATATATATGTTTCCATTTGCATGTAACCAGGAGGATTTTAGTTATAAAAATAAACCGTGGGAGTGTGGGACCTAGCTATGTGCACAGAGTCAAAGAGACAGGGACTTAATATTTTAGTTATCCAATCGAATATGGGGCTGTGGGGGATCTAATGAGGATTGATTATTTATTCTTTTAACTTAAAGAAGCTTGATCTTGATGCCTTGATGATGCCTGATGGGTTATATTTATTTAAAGAAGGCTAGTGGGTAAGTGGGGCCGTGGGGGATCTAATTTGACCAAACCATTCGAATATGGGGCTGTGGGGGATCTAATGAGGATTGATTATTTATTTTTTAACTTAAAGAAGCTTGATCTTGATGCCTTGATGATGCCTGATGGGTTATATTTATTTAAAGAAGGCTAGTGGGTAAGTGGGGCCGTGGGGGATCTAATTTGACCAAAAAAAAAACTAAGTATTAGTTATAGTCCTACACTCTTATATGATCCATAAATTATAATTATATTTCCATGAACTATAATTAATTGTTTAAATAATTGAGTGCTTAAATTCAAAATCCTTTTCTTAATTAACATGCTCTCTAGATATGTTTACTAGTTATAATTAATTGATACTATTGTGTATTTCTTGTATTGTAGAAATTAGAAGATGTCATCCCAACCACAAGAAGTATCTGGTAGTGCTCCATCTACACAATCTGTGAGATCGAAGGCTGATCCTGCATGGGAACATTGTGTTCAAGTAGCTAGCAAAAACTCAAGTGGCAAACCTCGCTTGAGATGTTTGTATTGTGCAAAGGAATTTGGAGGTGGAGGGATACATAGAATGAAACAGCATCTTGCGGGAATAAAAGGAGATATAATAAGTTGTAAAAAAGTTCCGGGTGATGTTCGCTTTCGGTTGGGAGAAAATTTGAAAGAAATTGAAGAGAAGAAAGGTAAGAAACAAGATATATATGAGGAGGACAATCCCTATGGTCCTAGTGTCACACCATTTGAAGGGGATGCTCCAAATTTGCAAGAGGTTCCTCCGACACAGATTCAAACTCCTACTCCAACTTCTTCTCAGCAAAATATTCAAACTTCTGCCTTAAGACCATCTCAAGCTATGAAAAGAAAGCCATCTGCACCAATAGACAAATTCTTTGCCCCAAGGACAAGTCCAGGTGCACAACCGGGAATTAGAAGTGCGTTTGCAGGTAAGGAAGCTGTGCATAGAGCAGACTTAGCTATGGCTAGGTGGCTCTATGATTGTTGTATTCCAATTAATGCTGTTAATTCTCCTTACTTCCAGCCTATGATAGATGCTATTGCAGCTATTGGACCTGGTTATAAAGGGCCATCTTATCATGCTTTTAGAACCAAATTACTACAAGATATGAAAAAGGAGGTTCAATTGTTAGTTGATGAGTGTAGAGGCTTTTGGGCAGAAACTGGTTGCACAATAATGGCTGATGGTTGGCAAGATCAAAGAAATAGGCAATTGATTAATTTTCTTGTTTACTGTCCTAGAGGGATTGTGTTCATTAAGTCTGTTGATGCCTCAGATATTGTGAAGGATGCTCAAACTCTTTGTAACTTATTCTTGGAAATGGTTACATTTGTTGGTGTGGATAATGTGGTTCATTTGGTAACCGATAATGCAGCTAATTATAAAGCTGCTGGGAGGTTATTAACTGACAAGCATCCTTCTATATATTGGTCTCCATGTGCTGCCCATTGCTTAAATTTGATTTTAGCGGACATTGGCAAAATGGCTCTTGTTACTAGTTTGGCATCAAGAGCTTCAAAGGTTTCAAAATTCATTTACAATCATGCATTTTTGCTTGCCTGGCTAAGAAAAAGAGAAGGTTGGAAAGAAATCATCCGTCCAGGACCTACACAGTTTGCTACCACATTTATTGCATTAAAAAGTCTTCTTGATCACAAGCATGATTTACAAGCCCTGGTAACTAGCAAGGCATTTTTAGATTCCAGATACTGTAGAGATCAGAGAGCCAAAGATGTAACATTGATTATATTAGATAACAAGTTCTGGAATGATTGTAAGATTATTGTTGAAGTTGTGAAACCACTTGTTCGGTTGTTGAGAATAGTTGATTCTGATGATAGGCCTTCACTTGGATATATCTATGAGGGTATGTATAGGGCAAGGAAAGCTATCAAGAGTACTTTCATGAACAAAAAAACTTTATACAAGCCTTATACAAGAATTATTAAGAGAAGGTGGGATACACAGCTTCGTCAAGATCTTCACACAGCAGCTTATGTCTTAAATCCTGCTTTTCTTTATGACCAGGCTAACTTTTCTCAAAAGCCAGAGGTTATGAATAGATATCTTACAGTTATAAATAGAAAAGTAGCTTCCAATAAGACCAAGTTTTTGCAAGAAGGCACACAGTACCAAAATAGAAGTGGTAGCTTTAGTCATCCTTTGGCCCTTGAATCTGCAAAATCAATGCGACCTGGTAAAGTTTTATATTTTAATGTTTGATGATAGTTTGATGAGTCATGATTCTTGATTCTTAGGTATTAAGCCTGTGACTTAATCATTTGATGATGTTTTATTTTTGATATGACAGATGAATGGTGGCGATATTTTGGAGGTAGTTGTCCAAATGTGAAAAAGTTGGCTATTCAATTATTAAGCCAAACTGCATCTTCATCAGGTTGTGAAAGGAATTGGAGTGTCTTTGAAAGAATACACTCTAAGAAAAGGAACAGGTTGGAGCATAAAAGGCTGAATGATCTTGTCTTTGTTCATTACAATTTTTGTTTGAGGAATAGGTATATTTTTCTAACTTTTAGACTCTACTTGAATTTATATTTTCCAAACAATTGATTAAATTAATGCTAATACTATGTTATTGTCATTTGTTTTTCAGAGTTGTTAACAAGAACAAAACTTTTGATCCTATTGATTATGAAAGTATTGATAAGATTGAATATTGGATAACTGAAGAAGTTGATTCTCCTCCACTTTCAACATTTCGTGCTGATGAGATCGAAGAAGACATCATTTATGATGATACAACACTACCAATGCCAAATGTTTTCATCAATGAAGAAGGTTAGATGTTTTTTAATCTTTCTATTTTTTTAATTTATATTTTACATTTGACTAATTTCAATAATATGATTGTTGCAAACTATTTTATAAAGATAATTATGAAGAGAGAGGCAATGAGGCTCAAGTTGAGGATAGATGCTTTGACACTGGAGTTGGAGCAGGTGTTGATTTGGGATCATTTTCTCAACAAGACATTGATAGTCACAGTGCAGAGGCTGCAGACCCAGATGCCTTTTTGGAGACTCATGCTTGGCTTAATCAAGATCCTCCAATATTTGACAAGTCATGAAGTCATTTGTCTTAGTGCATTATATTGAGTACTTAGGAGTCATGTAGTGTTAGATTGCTAAGGACTTAAGGAATTTTATTTTGTTAAAACATATATAGTAAACATAATTTTACTATAAATTATGCTAATTATATTTATCATATTATATATATACTATATAACTATTTTTAATTTAATTATTATCTTACCGGTTCGACCGAACGGTCCAACCGTTTGAACCGGTTGAACCATGACCCGTTGCTCTTTCCGGCTCGACTTCCGGTCCGGCTTTTAAAACATTGGTTCAGTGTTTCAATTTCTTCTTCTAGACATTTAATTTTTTTCCTCTCATCATTCGATGGTTTAGACAAGCATGGAATGGGCAGCGTTAGGAGTGTTTAATGAATAATGATAGCTTTCTGGGGATATAGTGCCTCCCTTGCAACCGGAGGATGGGGATTTCTGTAATTATTAAGTTAAAAACTGTAATTATTTAGAAGGATTGAATATTAAAATATAAATTTAAAAATATTACGATATTCCTACCTAAACTCCTATATTCTCTAAAACCACATTCTATAATTTTCTCCTAATTTTATAAAATAATCAAGATTCATTCATGTTAACTCTTGTTACTTTTTAATTGATAAGACCCTTTTCTTTGGGAAAATGACAATAAAATACCACCTGAATTCCAAAAAGACAAATAAGGGACCTGAATAAGCAAAATGACAAATAGGGCACTGGGTACCAATTTGGAATATAGATTTTCGGCCAAAAGACCGAATTGCCCTGATTGTCTCTGAACATTGAGCAGTGTATTCATGCGATAGAGAAAGGGAGAAACTGATTTCCTTCTACGAAACTAAATCCAAGTTCCTGCAGTCACCAAAAAGGATTTTTCGAAATCACGTTGCCGTCGTCGTAGGAGTAGATTGCCATCGCTGAATTTGGTTACCATCGCTAAAATACATTGCCCTGTCTGAAATAACTTGTACCCCTGAAATTGTCGTCGTCGAAGAGGTCGCTGAAGTATTTGAATTATTCATGAGTGAGTAGAAGTTGATGGCGGGATTTGGATTATTCATTTTTGTGGCTGTTTCATGGTGAAATAGGAACAGGATTATTGCATTTGAGGGTTCATATTCAGTATTTGGTGAATGATGAAGCAGAAATCAGAAAATAGTCGCAAGCAATTACGTAATGTAATTGCTGTCATATGTTTGCTGGTTTTTGGTAAATCCCATTCCGTGAATGGTAAATCCCATTCCGTGAATGGTAAATTTTAATATACATGTAGTTAATTATGAAACTTAATAGTTCAATGTTTATTGTGATGTACTTCAGGTGCACGTTCACTGAATGATTTATTTATGCTTACAAGTTGCTCTTCCGGTGAAAACAGGTTTACAAAACCCATTGAAGAAGTGGTCACTTTCACTATAAAAGTTGTAAATCCCATTATGTGTTTTGTAAAATTCAGCGTGAAATTTTATTGGTGGTGAAAAGTAAGTTACTCATCCCCCGAAAATATATTGCAAAATCTATTAACAAAGCGGTCACTTTTATCACAAAAGTTGTAAATCCCAGCATATGTTTTATAAAATTCAACGTGAAATTTTATTGGTTTTTAGAAACAAGTTACCTATCTCCTGAAAACAGTTACAAAAGCCATTTAAGAAGTAGTCATTTTCACTATAAAAGTTGTAAATCTCACTGTGTGTTTTGTAAAATTCAATGTGAAATTTTATTGATTTTTAGAAACAAGTTGCTCATCCCCTAAAAAGAGGTTGCAAAACCCATTTAAGAAGTGATTATTTTCACTAAGAAAGTTGTAAATCTCACTACATGTTTTGTAAAATTCAACATATAATTTTATTGGTTTTTATAAACAAGTTGCCAATCCCTTGAAAACATGTTGCAAAACCCATTGAAGAAGTGATCATTTTCATTATGAAAGTTGTAAATCTCACTATGTGTTTTGTCAAATTCAGCGTGAAATTTTATTGATTTTTAGAAACAAGTTGCTCATCCCCTGAAAAGAAGTTGCAAAATTCATTTAAGAAGTGGTAATTTTCACTACAAAAGTTGTAAATATTACTCTATGTTTTGTAAAATTCAGCATAGAATTTTATTGGTTTTTAGAAACAAGTTGTCAATCCCTTGAAAACATGTTACAAAACCCATTGAAGAAGTGATCATTTTCACTACGAAAGTTGTAAATCTCACTATGTGTTTTGTCAAATTTAGTATAAAATTTTATTAGTTTTTAGAAACAAGCTGCCCATCTCCTGAAAATAAGTTACAAAACCCATTGAATAAGTGGTCATTTTTACTACGGAAGTTGTAAATCCCACTATACGTTTTGTCAAATTTAGCGTGAAATTTTATTAGTTTTTACAAACAAGTTATTTATCTCCTGAAAGCAGGTTGCAAAACCCATTAACAAAGTAGTCACTTTCACTACAAAAGTTGTAAATCACAATATGTATTTTGTAAAATTCATAATTAACTACATGTATAGTAAAATTTACCATTCACATAGTGGGATTTACCATTCACGTAGTGGGATTTACCAAAAACCAGCAGGCATATGACAGGAGTTACGTAACGTAATTGCTTGTCATTGTTTTCTGATTTCCACTTCATCTTCCCCGCAGGTTCACTCCCTCTCTCACTACAAATCCTCTTTCCCACAACCAAAACCCACCAAATCAACAATCTCTACAGAATGGTGATGCGAAGGAGTAAGATAATAGCATTTCCAACATTCTTCTTTCCTTCTTCCCGCATTTCATCACCGTCGGTCTTCCTCTCTCCTTTCTCTCACTGCGTCGCTTTCTTCCTCTCTCCTTTCTCTCACTTTCAGACAGGGCATTTTGGTCTTTTGGCCAAAAATCTGAATTCCAGATTGGTACCCAGTCCCCTATATGTCATTTTGCTTATTCAGGTCCCTTATTTGTCTTTTTGGAATTCAGGTGGTATTTTATTGTCATTTTCCCCTTTTCTTTCGGGCTTCGTGAATAATGAGCAAATAAAAAATTACGTACGAAAAATGATACCAGAGTCCCACAGGCCGAACACGTGTCAACATGTAGCCAGCGACATAAATATATTAAGGGTCCGTTTGGCTGGGCTTCTAAGGAGCTTATAAGTAGCTTAAAATCAGCATAAGTCCGATTGGTGTTAAGCTCCTGTTTGGTTGGGCTTGGAAAAAAAAGTAGATTATGGAATTTAAGCTACTGAACGCACGATCTGGCCCAAGCTGATTTTTGTAGCTTATTGAATCAGATAAGCTCTTATTCTCCTCCCATTATTCTCTCACTCCTTTCATTATCTTCTTATTGTTCACTCTCTTTTTTTCGACCAGAGCTCACTAAACCCATGACCCGTCTCTGTCGTTGGACTAGCTCTGTCGCCTCCTTGCCAGAAGCTCCGTCGCGTCTGCCTTGCGAGCTTAAGAGCAAACTCCTTTTCATGATTCAGGGCGTTGATCATGGTTTGGGGGTCGATTGTATTTTTTCTCCCAGTTCCGTGATTAAGTTTTTTGACCAGCAGTTCAATGATGAAGTTAAACTGTTAAAAGTCAAGATCTTTTAGAAAAGTTTTTCTCCATATCATGCGATGAATTTTTGTTTGGGGAGAAAATCAATAAAACACGTATTGTCATGTAAGTCACTCAGATGCCACATGGATGATTTTTTGTCAAAAGTTTGCCTAGTCAACAAAATACAATAATTTTTTATAATTTCTCTAATATTTGAAAATTTAATTTACTCATTCAATTTCATTTTTTCATATTAAATTAATTTAAATTTATTGTATTATATAAAATTATTTTTTTATTACGTTCCACTTTATATTTACAAATTTGTTTATGATTTCTCTAAATTTTTAAAATTTAATTCATTCATTAAATTTAACTTCTTCATATTAAATTATTTTAATTTCATTATATTAAGTGAAATCATTTTTTTAATCATGTTTCATTATTTACTAAAACTCATATTTATTTTGTTCATTTTACAACCAAACTTATTTTTACTCAACCATAATCCAAACACTCTTTTACCAAGATCACTTTTGCAAACTAGCTTTTCTGAACTCTAATCCAAACACAATTCAGCTTATCCAATTTAGCTCTTACCCAATTTCACTTCTCCATAAGCTACTTTTTCAATAAGCTACTTTTCCAATCGCTGATCTAAACGGACCCTAAGTCGTAACATGAAATAATTGCTCCTATCTTTTGTTTTTTTTATTCCAATAAGTTGTGGCTATGTTATATATAATCTATTATTATATTACTTTTTTAAATTTATAATTATATTAACTCAGAGGATTCAATTTAGTTTTAAGGATTGCTATTATGATAGCATGAATAAAATAAGAGTGTGAAAAAATGATTTTGATGAGACTCATTATTGAGAAAGCCTAAAAGAAAAAAAATTATTGATAAAAAATGATAAAAAAATAAATTAATTAGTGTTGGTTATTAATTTAATTAATTAGAATTATTTTTTAGCTATAAAATTTAAATTAGCTTAAATTAATTCAAGTAAATCTTGATTATTTCATTAAATGATGGAAAAATTATAGAATGTTGTGAGAAAGAAAATTGAATTTTAACTAGGATAATTTAGTATTTTTAAATTTATATTTTAGTATTTAGTCGTTCTAAATAATTATAAATATAAATTATTAACATTTTCAATCAATGCATTTTTAATCAAATTCTTAATTAACTTTTTTTTTCAATTTTGAACTAAAATATAATGGAGCATTAATTTGTTGACTTTCTAAATAAATGTTGTAATTACTGGAAATGAATGATTTTTCGGGAAAGATAGAATAGAAAATCAAAACGGTTAAAAGTTGAAACTTAAGAATGCAAAAATATAATTTAATCTACTCCATAAACTTGAGGCCATTTTTCTTTTGCCAACAAAGTCGTTTGATTCTTTATCAACATCACGCACCTGAAAATATATTTAAAAATGTTAGATATATCAAAATACTGA